CATACCTCCACCCACGACATGGACACATTAAATCATCCCTTAACCCCTTAAGGACACAACTTCTGTAATAAAAGGGAATCATGATGGAATATTTCCGTCATGTGTCCTTAAGGGGTTAATATAATGTGGGGGTCAAATTATTGCTTAAACTTTGTGCTGGCAACATTTTTTAACAATATGTCTAGTGGCAAATTTTTTAACCCCTTAAGGACACATGACATGTGTGACATGTCATGATTCCCTTTTATTCCAAAAGTTTTGTCCTTAAGGGGTTAAATCTGGGCCCTATTGAAAGCACATGCAGACATTTCCCGCTTTATGAACTCCTGTCTTTATGAACTTTTGCTTGGAAACACTACCATTTTGTGTCAGCATTCTGCGAATTCGGACCGAGAGCACAGAAAAGAATAATTTGTGGCCTTGAGTAGACAAGAAGAGAGAAAAGGAGCAGGAACGCAGTTCCTGGAGATAAAGGTAAGTCTAAAAAACGTGTTTGGACTGTCTTGTAATCTTTCTGTGCTTTCATGGGCATACTATAGAGTAGAGATTTGATGTGTGTCTGTGTTTATTGTTTTGCCATTGTGCCATGTTTTGGCAGGCAGCATCAGTGAGGAGCAGAAGGAGGGCTGAAGGGTATGAAGAAAGGGGAGGAGGAGATTTTGAGAGCTGTAAAAACAAAAGGAAAAGAAAAGCAATAAAGGAGTGGAGGCGTTGATAAAGAAGGAAGTGAACGAGGAGGGCTTAAGAGAGGTGTATTCCTTTAATGTATTTGTTATGCTGTAATTTGGTATTTGTACTAAATAATTTAGGTTTTCAATGGTAAACTTTCTTGGTCACGAACAGAACCCATGCTTATTACATTGCGGTCTATGGATAATTAGTTCTCAATTTATAAACTCTCACTTTATGAACTAGGCTTCCAGACCAATTGGTTACGTGAAGTCGGGAATTACCTGTTGTACACTTTAAAATAGTTTGAGGAAGTATACAGATTGTTATTTCATGGAATGTGTTATTGGAAAACCACTTACTTTCTGTGAGAAAATGTTGTTTTCCTAAACATGTCAGACATTTCTTCCCACATACCTACCACACGTTGATGAGGGGGGCGTAAATAGTCACACTTTGCGCCAGATCTAGAAAAGTATTCCTTCATTGAAAACATAATTTTATGAAGATTTGGAAAAGGTACAGAAATAAGAAGCTAAATATTTTGTTCCCTTTTTATTATGTGACTGAACATCACAACGAGGCAAAGCATAAAATATAAATAAATCAAAAAAGACAAATGTGCTGCGTTTAATTTATTTTTTAAAGCATCTATAACAGAGGGTTGCAGCTTTTTTATGTCCCTATATTATTGTGTTTTATTAGTGTGAATATCGATAATAATTCAAGGATTTTACTATTATCATGAAGGAAAGTCATGATTTTATTAAAGACACGGAGGCGAGTATTATGCTGCACTCTTTCTTTAATTCCCTCAGCAGCAAAGAAACATCATTTGAAAAAAGAAAATTTTTAACAGGTATAAACATCACAATGGCAATGTTCGCCTAGCAACATGACCATCCAATCAGTGACATCCTTCTCCCATAGAAGGCGGAGCATCAATGACCATTTCCTCTTTCTTGCGAATCCCGAAGAATAATTCAACTCCGAACAAAAAAAACGGATCAACAAACGAACCTTGCTTCAGAGACTTCTTTCAACCAAGTCATGCTAAAAAAAAAGAAGAAATATGGTAATGTCTTGAAATTGTGGGTTGCCATCATATAAAGAGTACTGATCGTCTTATTAAACATTGATAAGAATTCATAAGTGTAGAATGAGGAAACTACCAATGTGGAGATAATAGTGACAAATAAAGTTAATTATTAAATAATGTCCTAAGCAATGTATGTATGCCCTAAAGCAATGTAGGTATGTGATGGCATCAATAACGTCAGATTGAACTTACCATAGAGAGGCTTGTAACTTACCTTAACCCACATCCAACATGGGTGGGATAATACTCGCCTCCGTGTCTTTAATAACATCATGACAATAGTAAAATCCATGAATTTTATTAAAGACCCGGAGGCTCCTATTATGCTATTTCAAAGCTGTGATATCTCGGGTTCTGCGAAATGCTGGATTGGTTTGAAATAGAAGTTACGGAAAGTAGATTCCGTGGACCAATCAGCTGCTTTCAAAATATCCTCCAAACGACAACCAACGAAGGAAGCTTTGGAGGCCATGGCACCGCGAACTGAATGAGGAGAAAATATGGAGGTATCAATGCCACCAAAGACATGAGCCACTTGACCCAGCGGGCCAGGGTCGGTGAGGATACCGGAGCATGCGGTTTGCGAAAGGAGATAAAGAGCTGGGGGTCCCAGCCAGTCCGGAGGGGTGCGGTACGAGCTTTGTACACTCTGAGACACTCTACTGGGCAGAGTACCGGCTTTGTGGGGAAAGCTGGATATGTGACCAACCGGGAGGATGATTTTGTCCACCGCGAAATGTCAAAGACGACTCCGTCCAGGGAGAAGGAGCGGGCATTGACATCGAGTGCTCTAACGTCCGATGCTCTTTTACATGAGATTAGGCACAACAACATGACCAGTTTAGCCGAGAGTTGCTTCAGGGATAAAACCTCATTGTCTGGCCACATAGTCAGGAAATTCAATACCAGGGAGACGTCCCATAGGGATGAATAACGAGGTAAAGGTGGCCTTGCGAAGCGGTTGCCGCGGAGGAGGCGACAGACAAGTGGGTATCGTCCCACCGTGGTACCGTTAATGCCGGTGTGGCCGGCTGAAATCGCTTAGGCTACTATACAGCTACTGAGGAAGCTCATAGAGTGAAACGCGTTTAGCTGATTATTCTGGACTTTTAATTGGACTTTAATTGGATTTTTTTACTTTCTAGTACGTATTTATTTTGTTTTTACTGCACTGTCAATAAATGTATTTATTATTATTTTATACTTTAGTCCAAAGTCCTTTCTAGCTGTCAGGAACTCCTTTGGGGAGAGTGCTATTCCCCCCAAAAATAGCACATTGTCTATCAACCTCAGAGCCGGGATTTCAGGGCTCTGGAGAAGGTGAGCGCAACTATTTACACTTTTGATATTAATATAGTATGTGCTATTCTACACAGATGCTTTTCTGCTTTCTTTCTCGCTGTATATTCCTGGAGGGATACTGCCTGGGATAAAGGGGTGTTTGCTGCCCAAAGAGCATAAAGGATCCTTTCACGGAGCCAATATTACATAGGCTCCTGTCCATGTGAATGGTTTCAGTTATTTATTACCATCAATTGTCTATTTTGGAAACTGTCTGCACTATATTTCTTGTTTTTCTGTTCCCCTTTTATATGTACATTCAAGTTTTTCAAGACTGTCACTGTACCAAAGGGGTGAGTGAATCCCTCTACTGTCCAAAGCGCTCCACTTGTTTGGTATTACATTTATACCTTATTTTTTGGGTAGAGCTTTACCGTCCGATAAGCTTTCCCATTCTCATAGAGGGAGGTTAAGAATTGGAGGACAGTCGTCACAGGATTTGATAGGGGATCCACACCCCTTGCCACACACCAATCATCCCATGTGCGCCAAGCAGACTTGTAAGACTGTCTTGTGCCGGGTGCCCATGCGCCCTTGAGAAGTCGGATAGTTGATTGCGAAAGTCCCTCGATAGCCCAGGATCCCCGGAAATTAGCCATGCCGTGAGGCGGAGAAGACCCTGGAGGATCCCGTCGGGGTCCCGCAGGAGGGAGTGGGAGTCCGGGAGGAGTCTTGGGCGATTTATAGCCATCTCTAGTAATGGAGGGAACCAGGGTTGTGACGGCCAGAGGGGTGTTATTATCACTAGGCAGCCCAAGTGGCGTCGCAGGTGAAGCAGGCAACGCGGGATAAGAGCGAATGGAGGGGATGCATAGTTCCTGGTGGTGGACCAGTCTTGGGAGAATGCATTCGTAGCTAGAGCTTTCGGGTCTGGCCTCCAACTGAAAAAGTTCCGAAGTTGGGTATTCCAGAGGCAAACAAGTCTATTGCTAGAGGACCCCATAGGTCCCAGATGTACTGGAAGGTATGGGGATCGAGGTGCCAGTCGCTGGAATCCCGCAGATGGCGGGAATACCAATCCGCTGTAGTGTTGGACAACCCTGGTAGATATTCTGCTCTGACAGCAATGTTGTGTTGAAGGCAAAATTGCCAGAAGTCTCGAGCCGTTTTCAACAAAATTAAGCACTGGGATAGGGTCAGGGATAGGCTGCGAATCGCAAAGGACCACGCCATGAGTTCTGAGCAATTTATATGCAAGGTGGATTCCGACCATCGCCCGCCTGTGGAGACATCTCCGCAACAAGCTCCCCAGCCGTAAGAGCTGGCGTCTGACTCTATGACTACATCTGGAGCCGAAACGAAAATGGCTTTGCCATTCCACGCCTCCATGTGTAGGAGCCACCAGTGGAGTTCTTCCTTTGCTTCTGCATCTAGTGTCAGAGAATCCTCGTATGAGGCGCCGCTCCTGAGATATGACGCCTGTAGGCATTGGAGGGCTCTGTAGTGAAGGGGGACTGGAAATATGGCCTGTATGGAGGCAGCCAGGAGCCCGATGACACGGGCCAGGTGCTTGAGAGATAATTGAGGGGTGGCCAGAACATGCCTAATCTCTTTTTTGATATTCCTCATTTTAGAGGTAGGTAAGAATAGGGTTTGCATTACCAAATCCACTATTAGGCCTAGAAACTCTATTTGCTGAGTGGGAACTAGTAAGGATTTTTCCCAGTTGATAATGAAGCCCAGGTTCTGTAGTAAGGTTGTGGTCCAACCGAGGTGAGTGTGAAGAAGGGGCACAGATTGGGATAGCAGTAGGATGTCGTCTAAGTAAATGATTAGACGAACCCCCCGACTGTGCAGAAGCGCGATACCTGGCTTCATGAGCTTGGTGAAGCACCAAGGCGCGGAAGAGAGACCGAAAGGAAGGCAGCGGAACCGCCATTTCCTGCCTTGCCATGTCAATTGCAGGAAATCCTGATAGGCCTCCGCAATGGGCACTGTGAGATAAGCATCTCTTAGATCGAGTTTCACCATCCAGTCTGATGGTTGGAGCAAATCTCGTAGGCAATGAATGCCTTCCATTTTGAAATGGTGGTAGCTTACATAGGAATTTAGGTGCTTGAGATTGATGACTGGGCGGGTTCCGCCACCTTTCTTGGGGACAATAAACAGGTTGCTCACAAAACCCGGGGTATGCATCGGGATTTCTAGAATAACCCCTTTGAGTGCCAATTCATGGATTTCCTCGGAGACGAGGATAGTGTCTGACCGGGAAAAAACAAACAATCTCCCCTGGTGGGGATTGCTGGATGCGTAGGGACACAAAGTCTATGAGATATCCGTGGACTGCCCTGAGTATCCAGGCATCTGATGTAATGAGGGCCCAGACATGGGAAAAATGTGTGAGCCTCGGTTCAGGCATGAACCCCTATTAACTCTGCCACACAGACGGCCCCTTGCTCTGCCAGCCCCAGGAAAAACCTTAGGGTGAAACACCCTGTTCATATTTAATTGTGCCTTGTCCAAGGCAGTAAACGTTTGGACGTATGCGCCCAGGTCTTTGACAAATGAATCTCCAAACAGGAAACCTTTGGCTTGAGGGTCTGGTTCTGTAATTGCCATGTTTACAAGTCTGGGTTCTATTTTTAATAGGATGGATTTACGGCGCTCTGTGGCAAGAGCGGTATTGGCATTGCCAATTAGGCATATTACTCTTTGGATCCAGCCACTAATCGTGAGCCGGTCCAGAACCTCATCTTGGGCTAAGGATTCCTCCACAGCTTCAAACATTTTTGTTGCTGGACCCAGAATATCCAGTACCTTGTCTTGGCAGTTGTATAATAAGAAATCTAAACCTTTTTTTGGTTTCCATACAGTTTTGCTTAGAAACTGAATAATTTTGGGGTTGACGTGGGGGGTCTTACAGACCTCGTCAGGTACCGTGGGGCGTGGGCATTCCGCCCTTAACTTATTTCTGGCAGCTTTATCTAGAGGCTTGCGGACCCGGGAAGCAACATATTGTGCCACATGTTCAGCCGGTGACCATTCCGCTGAGCGGGGATAACGTAAGTCATTAGGTTCAAATAAGAGTTCGCCCTGTGGGTCGAGTATTTTGCCCTCTTTAGTTAAATCCGAGTTAGACATGTCTGTGGTATGCAAGTCAGTAGAGGGTTTTGAATCCTCACCAAATCTGTAGACTGAATCTAAGTCAGATAAATCATTCGATTGGTCTGAGTTTAATGAAGATGCACTCTCCTCTTCCGAACTGAGTTCAGACTCAGTATAATCTGGTTGGGCTTTAGCCCATTTCCAATGCCTAGCCGCTTTTGCCCGGCTAGAGGCTCTTTTGCACGGTGGATCATTATGCGCGCCATCTGTGACAGGTTTAGAACTGTCCATCATTTTTTTGGATGAGTGCTTCACCTTAGCCGAGGCCTTGCGGCCAGGGTATGTAGGATGAGACACCGTGGGTATCGCGGCTGGTATAGCTTAATGAGGTGGTCTGGGTGCCTGGTCCATCTAGGGTTAACCCTTTTTTCTATAAACATAGCAGTTTCAGAGAAACTGCTATGTTTATCAATGGGTTAAGCCTTCCCCTATTCCCTCTAGTGGCTGTCTCATTGACAGCCGCTAGAGGGCTTCCGCGTTTCTCACTGTGAAAATCACAGTGAGAAGACGCCAGCGTCTATAGGAAAGCATTCTGAATGCCCGGCGCTGGAGAAAGAGGTAAGTTTAACCCCTTCCTCTCCATCCAGCCCGGCAGGAGGGGCACTCTGAGGGTGGGGGCACCCTCAGGGCACTATAATGCCAGGAAAACAAGTATGTTTTCCTGGCACTATAGTGGTCCTTGAAGCAAGGATTATAATTTATTACTAGTACAGATGAACTGGGTTAAATAACCCAGAGAAAACTGATTATAACAAATACAGAAAATAAGAGTTATAACAATGCCAATTACTGACAGACACTAATGTTTGGGGAGAGCATAAAAACAAAGAACCGTCCACCACTAATTCTGGACACCCACTCAGTTCAGGGGACGGAGTGGGCGTGTTAGAAGCAAAAGGGCGGGAAGGACTTGAAGAAAATGGTTGCCGCTATAACGGACACCAAGAAGATGGCCGCGGCGGGTATAAATGGAACGCTAGTATGAACGAGGTGGCCGTAGTGATGAAGACGAATGAGTATGTATTAGAGAAAATAAACAGTAGGGGCTGAATGCGCGGTCGGGATTTATTCCGTGCGCACGGAACAGCCGGACCGCAAGATGGTCGCCGGGTGTCTCTGACGAGACGCGCATGTGCGGCTGAGCGGGAGTCCGGCCGCAAGAGAGAAACCGTTTGTTAGGCTGTAACGGCAGTATAGAAAACTGCTAAGGTAATGGGTTTATAGTCACATGAAAACGAATTATGTATTGAATGTATGAATGAAAGAATGTATGTGAAATGTCACAATACTGAAAGCACAACACTAAGTTAAAATTCAAAGGTACCACTCCTCAAATAAAGATGAAAATTGAAAGGTACCAGACATAAGAATGTTAAATAGTAAACATGGTTACCAGAGCAATAGCATATAAACAATAGTATATAATATAACCATAAGAGGGTCTCACAGTCCTAGAGAACTGTGAGAGGTGTACTTATCTGAGGGAAGCAGAAATGGTCGTCGATGGTCCGCCTGCTATGGGAGAACGATGTCACTAATTGGAGGGTCCCGTTGCAAGGCGGGCATTGTCATTGTGATGTTTATACCTGTTTTTTTCAAATGATGTTTCTTTGCTGCTGAGGGAATTAAAGAAAGAGTGCAGCATAATACTCGCCTCCGGGTCTTTAATAAAATTGTGATTTAGATTTTTTGAGGTATTTAGTAAAATACTTTGACTGCAATTGGCCAAGCATGTTGTTTAAATAAAATCCCACATTTACCTGCATTCGGGGTTATTTTCTTGTATTTGCTGGCACACAATGTGTTAATTGAAAAGGGTTACTTGCATAGAGCGATAACGCCCTGCGTGACGTCATGGATGTCTTCCGCGCGCGCTGTAAACCTGCGGAGCGCTCGCTCGCTCGCTCCTCCTCCATCCTGTTCGCACTGTCACGCGGCACTGAAACCGTTAAACTGCCAGACGGCGCTCGAGCACCATGTAGGTTGACGAGAGACCACGCCCCCATTTTGTGAATACCTAAGCCACGCCCCTGCAAGGCGCGTATGGCGCTAACTGTCAGCGTTGGTGGGCGGGGCTGCCGTGGCTGGTGCCATCTGTTGCCCCTTTTCCCTCGCAGCGGCTGTAGCGGCGGTGAGTGCGCACGCGCACATCCCGCGCTTCCCACTATCTCCCTGTAGGCTCGGCCCCGCCCCCCCCTCCCTCCTCTGTGAGCGGCTGCTGCAGGTCTGAGCTCCGGCGGGCGGGGGCGCACACGGCCCCTAGCCGGCGTCTGAATGAGAGAGAGTGAGGAGGGATAGACAGACAGATAGACAGAGAGAGCGAACAGCGGGCCGGAGATACGGGGAGCGGCGTACACACAGCACCGGACAGGTAAGGAGACACACTGCCTGAGCTGCACCCACCCCAATGGAGGCTCCCTCCCTCCCTGACTGACTGACTGTGTGCTCATCTTACAGGGACCCAGTGATATCTGATCCCATCACACAGCATGGCTGCTCAGTGTCCTGCATTGTGCCAGCAGCCCTGGGGGGACCACCCTGGCATCAGGAACCATATTTACCCCCTCACTGCCATGACCCCCTGCCCTGGGCACCCACCTGATTATAGGAATAATAAAACCACACATAATGCAAAGCCTGGCCCATTATATGGACTTAATAAAAAGTCATTGAAAGTTCCAAGTGTGCAGTGTAAAAGCTTTAATTCAGACACTTTGCTCTGTGTTCCCCCCCCACCCCCCCCTTTTATTTTATTTTGTCTTTCTGTGTCCTGCCTGCTGTGTAAAAGTGCTGGGATTATCTAGAATACAGACATAAACCTCACAGTACAAAGGCTCACTTATAGGGCAGTGCCAGGAACCAGGAGGGAGAGTGACAGGTCATGTGCTCAAGAGGTTCTGCAGCAGTCTGGACTTTTATATTTAATCATTTCCCCCAAAGCTGTTAGGTTTTTGTGTCGGTGGGCACAGTTTATAAAGTGTTTGGAAGCACACACTGTCCAGTTGTGGGTGGGTGGGTTGTTGGTTACAGTAAGCAACATATTGAAAGTAAAAGTTTTTTTGTTTGTTTTTTTGATTAGCTTAAAATGAGTGTAAATTGTATTATAGTTCCAGTTGGTTGATCTCTTCGTTTTTGCTCCCACTGTACAAACATTTTGTGGCAGAGCTCCTGGGAATTAAACACACATGAGGTGGGCTTTTATTGCCCCTTTTAAATTGGTTTGGTACATGTGTGATGATACTGCTGTAAATTTGGTTTACAAAATGTGTTGACTGTCAAAGCAAATGCATGCTAAGCTAGGAGCCCTGTCCCTCCCCTGTGTCATAAACTATCACTAAGATCTGCTTTCCTCATGTGCTTTGTTTTGGAAATTATATCTCCCTTCTATCATCTGGTGATCTACTGGCTGCATTAATCTGCTAAAGAAAATAGTTTCTAATGGTTTCATTTTTCATTTTTATTTGTTGGCAAGTGAGTCATTTAACTTTCCTGCATATTCTCGATTCATCATACATTTAATTATATTTTTATGCTTGTCTTTTGCAATATGTAAATACCTTCATTATACCATCATTATTTTAATGGATGCAGAAACTAAATACAACTTTCGTGTTTTTCCTATGTGTGTGTATAAGGATAATTTTGTAATGGTGTGTTTGTCAGTTAAAAATGATTTCTCAAAGTTGTTTTTTGGTGATAACCAGTTTGTGGATAGAGAATAGTAGCGTTTCCATGTTTTAATTTTTTTAAATTTTTTTCTAACTTACTGTAAACTTTTGTTCATTGTGGTGTTTCTGTACACGTGTTTGTATAAATAAAATATAGTAATGATGTGTATATATACTCTGGGAATTCCTTATTGGAAATCCAGCAATAAATACCTTGGAAATTCAGACCTCTTTTTTTGACCCATGCATTCGTTTTGGCTTTTGAATCTCTCAATTTGCCTTCTACAGGTTACACAATCCGTTCAAAGTTTGTCATGGAAATGCTATGTCCAAAAGTGACCATCCCATAAAGTTTTCTTTGCGCAGTCTTGAAAGTTCTGGGAGCCATCAGTCTGACAATTGTGTTCCTCTGTGTGGCTTTTTTATTTATAATATTCATTTGTAAATGTATGCATAGCGACTTTGGTTCCTAAGACAAAAAATCAAGTTGACATCTGTCTGGCTCCAAAATTCGCCAAACATTTCTTGCTGCTTGTTTTTATCTATATAATGGGGTTTGTTTTGTTTTGGTTTTTCGTCTTTGAAATGATTGGCCAGTTTAGGGCGGTAATGTCTAACCTTTTGGATCTGCATCCGTTGTTGACTATGTTTCCCATGATACTTGAGCATTAACCTTTTGGCTTTACATCTGTTGTGGACATTAGCATGGCTGGCTGGGCAGCATGGGAAACATAGTCCACAACAGCTGCAGTGCCACATGTATTTCATTACTGTTTATAAATATTATCCTTGCAAATTCTGCACTCGTGAGCTATGGAAGAGAGGATATTGTTATCTTGGCATACACAGCCCTTGTTAAGATTTCTACTCTTCTAAACTGCTTTTTATCTGCTCAATGCATTATGGGTAAGCTTCCTTTTTTTTTTTTTTGATTTTCATCGCCTTTTTAGCACATCAGGTTCCTTTAAGCATATTTCGCAAACTCCATGAAGCTTCCCATTCAAATGTAATACTGTATTTAAAAAAAAATCATCCTTGTGTGTTTTAACCATGGCGTACTATGGATTGGTGTAATGTGTAATCTGGAGAGAAATCTTTTAAACTCGTGGCCACCTGTTCCATGGAGTTTCCCTCTGTTTGACAGGGGACCATTTGTCCTGGAGATTACAGTTGGTTAGTCCTTCTGTCTGCACACAAGTCTAATATCTATTTGCTTTGACACTAGTTAGGGGCACAGATGGTCTGCAGCCATTTGGGACTCTTTGCACTGGGAAACAATCTATCATATAGTAAAAAGAATATCGCGTCACTTTTTGTATTTTTTTATTTTTTTTATTTTTTTTTAACTTTAGTCACATTGGTTATAAAATTAATATGCAGCCTGTAATCATGGATTTTAGAAACATTTGTGTGTGTGTATATGTATATATATCTATATGTGTGTGTATATTTTTCATATGAACTAAGGCTGCATGTTTTAATACTATTGTATTCTGAAGTATACATTTGTCTTACTGCTGTACAACATTGATTTAAGAAAGGGATGTTTGGCTGGCTGGACATCATTGAATTGTACTTCAGATGGTATTTAACATGTTGGCTACCACCAATCTATAGAATTATCTGTTTTATTTAATTTAATCGTGCCCTACTTTAGAGGTCTGCAACCACATTGCCTACTTTCAAGATAGTAATTTTAATTATTTACAATACTTGGCACAATCTTTACTTATTTATTTGTTAGACTATGGGGATTATGGGTAAAAAGTACCACGTTCACTTTCGAGTTTGTCCTGGTTTTTCAGCACATTACTTCACTGTCACACATTTGTGCAGAGAGAAGTACACTTAGTTTAACACTACAGTTAGCATAGTTTTCACCACTTTGGAAGTGACACCTTTGTGAACCAAAAGTAATGGGAAAATTAAACTCCCAAAAAGCAAATAATTTAATAAATAGGGGTAAACGTGAAACTGAGAAATACTGAAACATGTGTGAGGAAGTTTCTTGTGCAGCCTCCACACCCCCAAAAAGATTTCTGTGGAATCCCCAGTTTTTGTCATAATCAATTGGTATTGGAAACAAATCTAATTTGTGAGATATGTATTTGGCCGGCAAAATATTGGGTTTCTATGTTTTGTTCTAGAACATCAAATACCTACAGTTCCCATGTTGCTACATGAATAGTCCATCACCAGCTCTACAGTGTATCTGATCACCTGAATGAGCAAATTGCCTCAAGTGGCTAAATTTTCTCATTAACATTAGTTAATAACAGATGCATTTCAAAGCAGGTAAATGCTCTTCTTCTGTGCATCCTCCTATCCCTTATCTAAAGCTCTGTCGTTGTCTTGATAACCTGTTATAAAGTTGAACGCATTAGAACAGGTCAAACAGTACACATATACATGGCTCTGTGGTAGTTTATAGTAATGTAAAATGCATCAAGTAATTTTTAACTGTATAGTTTTTTTTTTCTAACACAAACATTATGCAGCACTTTGAAACAGATACACAAGCATGTCATTTGTAACATTATTAAAAATGCGCCTCTTTGTGTATCTTTTTGTGTAATTATTTTATAATATTCTACTTACATTTTCATCCCATGTAGAGGCATTTTTGAAAAATTCAAATTTTTTGTTTTCTTCAGTTATTTCTTTTGGTTTGATACTGATATATTTCTTCTTTTTGATCATTGATACAAATATTGTCCATT